GGCAAATTAGCCCTATTATATTTCAAATATTTTTGTTACCGTTGTGAAGGAGTATTGTTTCTTTAAAAAAAATTGGGTGGAACTAATTATTATGAGTGAAACGGACGGAGGAGATTTAAAGTTGGAGGATGACGTGGGACCATCCTTCACGTTCCCAAGATCTGGAGATAAATGAAATCCTCAGATCAGGGAAGATATAGATAATTTATCAATGACATCGATTTCTCATATCACAAAATGCCAATTATAATAATACAATTGGAAGAAGGAAAACAAAAAATGAACACAAAAAAAAACAACTTCCACCTGTTCCTTCGAATTCAGAGCTTGCTAAAAAAATTAAAATTCTTTTATTTCATATTTATATGATTATATCGAAAGTCTGATTTAATTTTAATTTCCATTGTATTCAGAGAAAAAAAGGAAGAAAGGTGACGTGGACCACGGCCTTTTGCTTGCCCATTGGATGGTTGGCAGAAGAATAATCGTGGGGCCCATGTCATAATATCTTTTATTAATGTTTGTAAAACATTATCATAAAACGCCAAATATCCTACACACAAGAGCCGAGTTATCACTTATAACTTGCCTCCAAAAACCTTGAAACTTATGTAATTGAGCTTTGATATAGTTTTTTTTGTTGCCCACTTGGGCTCTCAATAATGATGTTTTGCACTGTGCCGTATTTATTCCGTCCCGTATCATAATATCATCACCATTCATAGCATTATGATAAGTATAAAAACACAAATTACGTTCCGAACAAGAGTAAACAACTAAAGATATTCCATGGACAAGCAATTAGACCTAATAAATATAACCTAACAAACAATAAGATTAGTGGTGATTGTTTTGATTATATCGATTTATATATTATACATGCATTATTATCACATCGTGACTATATATGATCAAGTAGCCTTATCCGAGAGTTGGCCGAGAGTCGATCCAAAATCTCAAACCAAAAACACAATAGAAAAGGCCTCTTTTCAAACATGAATATAAATAATATACGAAGAAGATATGGAAAAAAGGGGAGTGTATTCAGAGTATTTCCATAGGTGAAAAATGACTCTTTGCGTAGTCTAAAAGCCGCCTCTAAACACACAAAGGGCTTCTGTGTCATGTGTGCCTCTTCTCCAACCATTTTGGTCCAACCACATGCTTAGATTATTAACACATCCCCTTTAATTTATTCTTTATACTATTTTTGTACGGTGCTACTATTTTAAATCAATTTGTCTCCATCTTTTTCCTTTCTTTTAGTTTATTTTATGTGGTAGGAGAGCCCATTATACTGGTATAAACAAGATTGCGAAGATATACTTGTTACATATATAGTATACACATTCATATTATAATTTTGTTCTTTAAACGTCGAGTATCCAATAAAATACACATGGGGGGTTTTGGCGTTTTGCCTTATATTACATGCAGCAAGTAATTAGCTGAATATTGAAAACAATGGACGTGAAGAATCGATCAGTACGCTTCTTATAGACGTGTATTATTTCAAGTTTATTCTACATAAATCCTTATTTCAAAATATATATTATGTTTTGTACCTATAATTA